ACGGATATCGATTCGGATTGAGGAATCGGAGAGCCGAGTTCGAATTCCAGTCGAATCCATTACATTCACTTACGTGCTAATACCCTTGGAAAATGTATGAATCCTCTTCTCCCCCACCCCTGCTATGGGCAAACAGAAGGATAGATCTATAGCTTTGGATGGCAGCTTGTCTACAGCTGAAAGAAATGGCAACCTACTGCAGAGAAAAATCTGCCTCGTCAGTCATGTATCGCATTTGTTTCAACACTTCTGGTGACTTATATCACTTGATAAGACACCAGAAGTGTTGAAACAAAAAGGCTATTTTTGTAGTGATTTTATAACGTTTTTATGTTATAATTTTCGAATAAATGATTATATTTGCTCTACTCTGTATTGAGCACTCTTTTAAGAATAGTATTTGTTCGTTATTGGAATTTATTCCGTATACATCAATCCTATACTTGTATATATATATATATATATATATATATATATATATATATATAAGCGTGTGTGTCTAAAAGGAAGAAACGATACAAGAGTATAGTATTACAAATATTTTAGTTCATCGGTAAGAAATTCTAATAATTAAAAATGGCTCGAGCTCAAACGATATCCGAAGTTACCTATTTGTAGCGAGTTTATTTACAAATGAATGTGAAATGTCGACCTATTCAAATCTCGGTTATCTATTTTGTCGATTGCTCTTATAAATGTATCCTTAGCGAACGAGAAATTTATTAGTTGTGCTTTTGTTTTTAGGAAATAGTTTGAAAACTCAGAAACAGTTTTGAGAATCAGACGAAAGATACAACAAAGGTCACTCTTCATGGAAAGAAGTTACAATAATTAGCATAGTTGTATACCAAGTAATACTCTATGTTACTTAACATTATGGAACAGACTTCACTGAGTAACACTATAGAAAGGAGAAAAACCACAATCACTTTATAAAGAGAAATGGGAGCATTTAAGACTAACAATATGCTAAATTTACCTTAAGATGTTTCGAGAATTATAAAAATATTGTGTAGAAGAGCAGATGGATAAACTGAAGGTTAACTAAATCAGTCGATTAAAAACGGGTGTAATTTTTTCTGTTTGAATTTCTAAAAATCTAGTCTCATTCCAAAATTTACAGAAAACATAAAACTTTATGCTTAAATTGTATGAAAATTATATCTACCATTAAAGAAAAAGACGAGATCGCTGTCAAGTACCGCGTGTAAGAATACAATTGCGACAACCTAGATTAAAGACATCAAAATGAAAATATTGGATTTTACAGCGACTGTACAAGAAATACTTAGTTTGATCGTTGTTCACCATTAAGACCTGTCCGTGTTTAAATTAGAAAGTTATTTTTAAAACAAAACTCCAGCTTATTGGTATCGAGTAATACATCCTGTTACCATAACAACGGAATATCTCATTAATATCGACAAATTGTTTCGTAGCCGATAAATAATTATATTGTCTTTAATAGAATTGCATAATACGTTATTTTACCTGCCACGTTGTTGAAATAGTTGCATATCTTCCCTGCTACAATGGTCGATGTTTGAGTTCAGTTAAAATCCAAAATTTAAGAATAGTAATTTAAAAAAAGGACAGTCTCTCCCTACTTGAAAGATTCGTAAAACAAATGCTTCTTAATCCTATTTCATTTTGTTTGGGTTTGCGCTGTTTAATTAAAGGTAAATACTTTATGCGGCTCTCAAAATTGCTTCTAACACTCAAAGTTGACGTTTAATTCCATTTAAAAAATCTCTGAATTTTTATGAAGACAAAATTATCTCAGGGATAAAACTAAACATTAAGAAGAAATATAATAAGTAACTAGCAATGGCTATGAAGCTTTAAAGTATACGCACTACGAAATCATTGGCATGCATTATTATATGGAGTTATATTCGGATGCGTGCACCTATAACAGTATGAATGCCTATCTGTGCAAGACAAAGTAAATAAGTTATTTTTTCATTTTTGTACCAAAGAAATACACATGAAATCTGTGACGTTTAATTAAAATATTCCTATTAATATTTTTTATAAAATCATAGATGGCTGAAAATAAAAGAATTGATATATAATAAAAAGTAAAACTTGTTTTTATTTGATTCGATATTTGTATCAATTCTGCTATAAAGCACGTAGTAAAATGGAGAAAAAAATGCAATAATATTAAGATAGATAGATAGATAGATAGATAGATAGATAGATAGATAGATAGATAGATAGAAAAGCAGTGTTTGTTATTAAAGTGTTCTATATCAAGAAATCGAGCATTAATAACAACAAATAAAGTAAAGTGATCAATTTATCTGAACCAATGGATGTATCACGTAGATAGTATCTACTCGTCAGAGACTTGATAAAATATATATACCGGGTGTATCAAAAATATATTTACAAACTTTGGGAGCACATACCTGACACCAAAACAAGGTAAAATCTCCATATAAACATATATCCAAAAGGCCATCGGTGTATGTAAAGATAGCAATTCATAAAAAATTCTCAAAATGTCCCCCGCTTGCTTCTACACATACATGCACCCGTCGGATCATTGACTGGCGGACCCTTTCAAATATTCCCACACAGTGTCGAATAGATCGCAGACCCTCATCACACGTTCATGAAGCGTCTCTTTATTATTAATGTGTGCTGCATAAACCAATTGTTTTAGGTGGCCCTCACAGATACAAATCCAAAAGATTGAGATCGCAGGAAAGTGCAGTCGGTCCCCCTCCCCGCCACTATCAATTTTTCATGGTATTTTCATGTCAGCCAGTGCATCACAAACAATGTGGCTAAAATGTTCTGGAGCCCCATCATGCATGAACCAAATGCGCCTTCGTTTTAGTAAACGTCCATCCTCTTGCAGGTCTGGAAGTGTGTACGAAAAAGTCCCTTTAGACAGCTCATGTAAGACATGCGGAGAGAACATATGGACCTATCAGACAGCCACATAGAATTCCAGCCCACACATTAATCATAAACTGATGCTAATGTCTAACTTGCATTGCACCATGGGTATTCCGATCCCCCCCCACACACACAGACAAATGTTGGTTGTATACATTTGTTATTCCATCTCTTGCAAATGTTGCCTCATCCATAAACAAGACTGAAGAGACAAACAACGGGTCACCATTTTGTGCAATAAACCATCGGCAAAAGTTCTCCCGTGGTGTGTGATCAGAGGCCAAAAGACACTGAACACGTTGCCAATTGATACAGATACAGGATCTGCTCTTGAAGTACTCTCCATGCGGTAGTATCAGGTGTACGATATGCTAGGGCCACTTGACGTGTGCTTCTACTTGGATCGTATCCAACAGCCTGTAGAATATGTTCTTCGTAGTCAGACGTAAGAGCCGATCTTGGTCTTTTTCGATCGATAATTTGTGGTGCCACTGATCCGTTCTTAGTTACTAGACGATAAACAGCAGCAAAGATTGGATGAATCAGTTGCCTTCGGTCTGGAAATGCAATTTGATACAGCCATGCAGCCTCGCGTCCATTACTATTCGCGCGGAGGTATGTAAAAATCATATCTGCCTGCTCACGATATGAATATCCTGCCAATGTTAAACAGAACATTTCTCAGTTAACTCATATATTACACACGTTAAACGTTGAAGACAAACTAGCCACAAATGCACACGAATGACAAATGTAACCTAGTCTAAATTTCAACACGGCGCCATCTACCGTAAACTTACTTTAAACTTAACTCAAAAAAGAAGGATTTGCAGACATATGTTTATATGTACATTTATTCTTGTTTTGGTGTGAGGAACCCGCCCCATAGCCCATAGTTTGTAAAAGTATATATATATATATATATATATATATATATATATATATATACACTATTTACATTGTTCGGATCGTCCTCGTCTTTGTTGCCATTTATATCACAACGTTTCGGCCGTTGTACGCTCCGGCCTTCTTCAGGCGGTTCGAATGTCGAACTGAACCCTTTATTTCGCTCTCTGGGGTAGACTGTTCTAGTTCCACGTGCCATGTCTAATGGATGCCAGTTATCAGTTATCTCATGTTAATTCACCTCTCCAGGTTCTCCACTGCCTTAATCTGGTATTGAACTCACTGATCCTGTCACTTTATCCACTGTGCCATGTGCCCTTGAGGACATCTGTGTATGAGTTTCTGGGACTTATAAACCTAATGGCTTCAGCAACCATTATTTAACAATACGCATATTGTCATTTTTGCTGTTATCATTGCATATTTTTTTACCAAAGCTCATATTGCAATTTTCGTTGTTATTATTGCTTTTTTCTGGCACTACTTATTACTGGTTCTATTGTATTCATTTCTATGCTTGGTTGGCTCAGGATATTTTTGTTGCCTAGCGTATGTACTGATTCCTTAAGTTTACGAATTTTCCAATGATTTTCTTTGTCTATGATTTCAACTTGATCCCACAGAGGGCGGTGATCTCCCTTTTCACTCCATATGTGGTCATCCACGCCTGATTTTTCCACTTCCCCTCGTGTTCCAACATTTTGGTGTTCTTGAAGACTTATCTTAAGAGGGCGGCCTGTCTCCCTTTATATTTTTTTCCGCAGCTGAACAGGATGGTGTACACACAGTCATTTAGTCATGTTCTCCTCTATAGGAGGTCTCACACGGGAGAGGTAGCTGCGAAGTGCCGTTCAGCTTTTGAAGGTTGTCCTGATGTTATATGGACCACAGATTCTTTGTATTTTCTCCGATAACCCCTTCACATAAGGCTGGCAGACTGTTTTCTGAGTGTTATTGTCCTCCTCTTGTACCCGCCTATCGCAGTTTATTAGGGCTGCTGCCATGTACCTAGGGTAGTTATTACGTTGTAGGATACTACTTATACGGACCAATTCTTTATCTAATGTCTCTGGGTCGCCACTTATGACTTTTGCTCTGTGTCGTAAACAGCGGACGACCCTTTTCTTTACGCTGTATGGATGGTGGAAGTTGAAATTTAGGTACTGTCCGATGAATGTCGGTTTGCGGTATACGGATTCACCGGACAATACCCCCACCATTTTTTTTTAAATTGTATATTACGACTACCGATCTTCAATGATTTATCGAGTTCACAGACCGGTAGATGTTATACACACTGTTTAAAAACGGGGTGTCTCTTTCAGAAACGGATATCCACTAAATAACGTTTAAACATATATATATATATATATATATATATATATATATATATATATATATATATATATATATATAAAGAAGAGAGAGAGAGAGAAGGCGTATCAGCACTGTATACCTCAAACTATCTTCAAATTATATATCACTACTCCTTTTGCGAGCATTTAAAAGACTAGTTACACATGCTACTGATGATCGCTTGAGGCGTGAAATTGACAGAAACCATGAAGTGTTGATTCTTAAGTCCAAATATCATTAATTCTGGCTGCCACTATATGTCGTTGCGTCATAAATAAGAAAAACTAACCCGTCCGTTACTAAATAGTTTACCTAGACTTTCAAAGCCTACTAATATATACTGAGTGTTACTTCCTGAAATGAATGTGTTTTATATACTATAAAATACAGTCAGTAGATATTTGAAAATGGAAATTTTAAAATCACAAGATATCCCAACTGGGTGAAAATAATAATTCTTTGATATTGAAAGAAGAAAACTGAATAATAAAACTCATGCATTTGCCATAGAAGCTTCGATATCACATTCTTTAGTCTATTGCTACATTAATAACGGTTGTTACTCGTTTTATTTCTATGATTATTTCCAGATAGATGCCCAGTCCTCACTTGTCTGTCTTGATAGATTTCAAAAGCATCTACGCGTCCTTATGGGCAAGTATTTTCCACCCTGCAATCTCTTTTCCACGGACGAAAAGTTCGCGAACATCTCGCAACTCTATATTTCCATGGCATATATTCTGACGCGCTGCATTCCTTCGTTCCACAAGTCCTGTCCTTTGAAACTTACATAAGGATGAATCACCCTGTACTACTTGAATAAATTCCTCCCAAGAACTGCTTCTTTACAGAACAGACTTCTGGCAGGATATTTTCCTAATCAATGCAATCTTGAACACTTCAAGTCTAGGGTTAACCGTTAGCTTTTCTGCATAACACATTAACTTCATTTTTCACCTTTTCTTACGCTCATACTCCACACAGTAACCTTCTGCCTTGAGTGGCTCTTGGGACTTGTATTGTGTAAATATTAGTATAAAAAGATACTGCTTAGTTTCTCTCGGCACACGTTCTTTATTTGTCTATTGATAAATCTCCATCGCTTTCTATGTTTATGTCTGTGTGTGCCTTCAGGCCACTTTGAATTCAATTTCCGTTATCGCATAATCGATAGGCGTTCATAAAAAATGTGTCTATATTTATCGATATCATGAGTAGAATGATTGTCACTATTTGTGCAATTGTTTCATTCAATAATAAGATGAGTATTTAAGATCACCAATTGATTATTGCTTTTTCAATATAACTCCCAAAGCCAATCGCAAGGCCACAAGACTCTAGCCCGACAACTGAGACATTACACCACGCCCAGTGAGCAGTCTATCTATCTATCTATCTATCTATCTATCTATCTATCTATCTATCTATCTATCTTAAACTTGTATCAAAGCTTATATCATGCAGACCTTGATTACGCTTGCTTTTTTTTAAAGGTTAACCAAAGTCTAATACACAAAGGTATGACAATTGTTGAATGGGTGCCGGTTAGAAACACCAACGGACTTGGTTCAACAATAATTCAGATTGCACGTTTTCACATGCACGTACGCTCTTAAGCATCCTATCAACTCAAGGTTGATAAATTCGCTAATAATATCCTTATGACGCAGTAAATGGTTCGATTTGTATGACCAGAGAACGAAAACTCTTCCGCAAGTAACTCTATACACGTAGTCGACCAGAAAACTAAATTGAATTATTTCGCTGAAATCTGCTTTACACTCTCCTTGAAAGTATCATGCAAAATCATCTTCAGGAATGCAATTTCTTCGTTACAGTTAATTTCCCACTGTTCCAAACAAACATCAGCCCTATTTAAGGCGCGTAATCTCTCCACGGAATTACGATCATTCGATTCTAAAAGGTCAAGTTTATTTCAAAGCTGAAATCCAACCTCCTTGGATTTCTCTGAAACCGAATCTATAACCAATCATGTGTCCAACTCACATTTAACATTTCAAAGGGAGATAACTATTTTATAAATGCTACGAAACAATTCTCAAGTTTACTCAAAACAAATGTCGTTTTCCTCATAAGTCCTAAATAATCTAAATAGAGAATAACTAGTGCATTACTCACACAGTTGTGACATGTCCAGTAGTCATCACCAATTCTATGTCCAGCCATGGCCAGCGATATCCCTTGGTTATTTTTTATGTATAACTTGTTGACACAGCTCTTGTGGAAAACCAATCTACACACGGAACAGGGATAGTTCTTGTCTCCCGTGTATACACCGCAATAGTCACACGCGTTGTCATTCATGTTCTGCAACGAAGAAGTAGAAATAATAATGACAATAACAGGAAAGGTGTGACGAAAGCACAACAAAGATAATTCAAACATATTATTCGACCCAAGCCAGGAAACCAAATTTAGTTATCGAGAAAAAAATGTTTTTCTTTTTCAGGTAATGGACGTCGCTGTTTCAGCAGATTAAATAATAACATTGAAAAACTGGAAAATATTTATGGCTTAGATTAGATCTGAAAAGAAACATCGAAACCTAAAAGTAACAACTGAACACATCATCAATAGAGCATTTGAAAGGTTTTAAAAGAGCCTTGCGAATTTCAACCATATAAACAGCAGCATTACTAAAACTTTTTAAATAATAATAGCTTTACCGATTCCCTATGCCCGTCTATATTTTCTCTTTTCCCTCTCCCTTGGCTAGAGAGCATCTTGATTTTGTCCAAGGGCAGTATACAGCGGCAAGGGTTGGACGGGTCCTACTAACTAACATCAGTTATGTTTATTTTTGCTTTGTTTTGATATTTAGTTTGTTTTGGGGTTCATCCCTCCCCTTTCATGATCATTCATCCGATTTGTAAATATAAATTGTAAATAATATTTATCATCTCATTGGAATGTTTTTTTTTGGGGGGGGGGGATACCCCTCCCCTCCCGATAGGATGTGGTATTGTGGTGTATGGAGAATTGATTGACGACGGATGAGTTTTTATGGTGAATGAGGAAATTGTAACGAGTGAATGGGTCGTGAATCGGATTAGCTAGGTATAAGATAGTTAATGAAGACCAGCCTCAACCCATTCCCCTTTTCGGCCTTGTGCCATAATTGTATAAATTTACAATAAATCTCAATAATAATAGCGTTTGGAATCCGAGTAGATAAGACGTGTTTTTCGAGGCTCCGTAGAAACGTAAAATGTATAACGGATTTAATGTAAATGAATTTTAACGTAAATATTTTTGATGACTTTTATGTAATTATTATTTCCTTTTTTTGAGATTATTTTAATTTTTATCGTAATTTTGTGTTTATTTTGTTTTATTTCATTTTCAGGAATATATACTTCAACGTAAATATAACTCAACGTAAATATCCAACTGATTTTAATTTAAATCTGCGTGACTATAAATCATAGTTTATTTAAAGTCTTACTATTAAAAAAAAAAAACCTATAATGAAAGGGATTATATTTCTTAAAATGTATTTGATATATATATATATATATATATATATATATATGCACATTTCATTAAATACAAATGCTGCCTAAATACACACACACACACACTCATATGCGCAAACACACACACACACATATATATATATATATATATATATATATATATATATATATATATATATATATATATATGAAGACAAATATACTGAAAAAACAAACAAAAATCTTAATATGCAATTATGCTGTTTTCATGTTAATATAATGTCAACGTCGGACGTTTCGGTCTAATAGACCGTCTTCAAGACATATATTCAATTCAACATGAAAAAGACGATGGACACAAGAGCAAGAATGGTATTTACTCATACAAAAAGTACAAATTGTGGCACGAGGCCAATAAAGGGGAGGGTAGAGGCTGGTCAACACTAACTATCTTATACCTAGCTAATCAGATTCGCGACCCATTCGTACATTACATTTTACTCATTCACCAAAAGAACTCGTCCATCACCAAACAATCCTTCAACCGCCATAATACCACGTGCTCTCAAGGGAGAGCTACCAAAATCGCGCCCCATGCCATAAAAATTTTAATGATGATATATATATACAATTCTAATAATGATAAGATGAGAGGGGAGGGAAATGAACCCAATAATAAACTTAAAATAAACACAAATACAAACCAAACATAATTGATGCCAGTAGGGACCGTCCAATCCATAAAACAGAGAGACCGCTGTATTCTGCCCAGGGACAAAATCAAAAGACACTCTCGCTAAGGGAGGAAAAAAAATATAAAATATTAGGCTGGAATGGGAAAATATAAAACTGACCCAGTCGAGATGAAAGGGGGGGTCAAAACAAACTGGGGAGGTTGGGAATCTCGACTTGGATCATAACCAAAGAACGGCCGGGATGCAGGCCAGGAACAACACTTACTCACATTAACTAGGTACACTGAAGCTTGTCTAACCTAACCAAGGGAAGGTTCCACAGGAAACCACCCCCGATGGGCAATAGGTTGACCTAGAAGAGAAAATCAAGGCTATCCCCGTTCACACGAAGCAAGCTCGCTTCTTTTACCCACCTTTCGCTAAAGACTGTCGAATGCAATCGTCCAAATCACCAGTGGAGCCGTGGCCATCAGCGCCAGAAACACCATCCGTTTCATCCCTGAATACGGGGGCGACACATTGTCACACGCGTATGCGTGATCAATGGACACAAGCTGTTCGGGAGCGAGGCGAGCCGTCAGCTCGCCGACATGGTCCCATAAGGGGCGGACCTGGGGGCAATGGTAGAAGGCGTGCGCAGCCGTTTCTTCTAAGCCAAGGCCACACCGTTCACAGTCTGGAAAATCCGCCAAGCCCCATATGAAAGCCTTGTCGTTGAGAGGCAGCCGATTCCGAGCCAATCGCCAGCTAAGCGAAAACTCAGGGTTACTGAGGTAATCCTCCTCCGACAAGCCGAGAATATCTCGTAGGGGGTCCTTCGCGGGCCTCTCCACTAATTCACGATAGAAGACCTTCCTAGGCCGAGAAAGGTCACTGGACCGGTGAACGGCCCCCAAGGCCGACCGACACTCGCGAAGGAAAACCGATTGATCCCGGGGTTTACGACCGCGCTCAACTCGCGAGATAGGGGGACTGATGATAAGGCCAGGGAATGCGTCCCTAACAATCCCCTCCAGAATCGGATCTCCTCCAGTCAATGCGCGACGTAGGAAATCCAACCTAGAGCAGGTGCGGCATTCCCAGCCCCCCATGACACGGATGTTTAATGCAGACTCGTCTGTCGACCCGATTCCCGCGTCCCCTCCATAAAATGGAGGATAGCGATCGCTCGAACGCCTTCTTGTGTGTCTTACAGAGAGGAAGTACGGACAATCGATAAAGAATCAGGGGGAAAATGTATGTAGCACACACCTCCGCCCTGCCCTTCACGGACAACCTCCGTCAATTCCAAGTCTTACCGACGGAATCGACCTTTGCTCGTACTTCAGACCAATTCTTCTCCAGCTGGAGGTCAGGCCCAAACCACACTCCAAGTATGCGGACAGGACCGTCTGTTCAACCGAAGCGGCCCGGAAGAGCGACCCCCTTCCAGGCACCTAACCGCAAGCCGGACGACTTGTCGCGGTTTATTTTGGCACCTGTCACCTTCCCGTACCGATCAAGTGCCTTCTGTACCGCCTCAATGTCGTTGCCGGACGACACGAAAGCAGATATGTCATCGGCGTACGCGGAAACCCTGGCTCGAGACCCTCCAGGAATGGCAATTCCACGTAGGGACGGACTGCCGGTCTCGTCCTTCAGCCGGCGAAGGAGAGGCTCCAACGCCAAAGCATAAAGGAGAGGCGACAGCGGACAACCCTGACGAACCGACCTAGACAGCACGAACGCGTCCGACAACCTTCCGTTCACCTGTACCACCGCACTGGGGGAGCGATACAGGAGGCTAATCCAGCGGCTGAAGTTGGGTGCGAATCCAGCGGCCTGCAGGACAGCAGCAAGGTAGCGATGGTTGACCCTATCAAATGCCTTGGACTGATCCAAATTGATCAGCGCGGCTTCTTCGTCGTCTTTTACACCCTCTATGATCGTGCGGATCAGATGCAGGTTTCTCTGAATTGTTCGGCCCCTCACAGAACAAGTCTGCTCAGGTCCCAACAGAGACTCGGCAACTGACTGCAAATGCTCCTGCAGGGTCTTGGCCATAATCTTTAACTCTGTGTTTAGCAGAGTTATGGGCCTGTAATCATCTAGGTTCCCCCACCACCTTTGTCCTTTTTCAACAGAGTGATCACACCCCTGGTGATCCGGTTGGGGATGGACCCCGACCGAAACCAGTTGTTGAACACTGCAGTCAAAATTGGGACAAAGATGTGCGACAGCCTCGAGTACAATTCATAGGGCAAACCATCCAGACCGGGCGACTTGCCTCTGCCGACCTTCTTCAAAACCGCGTAGACTTCGCCCTCCGTAATCTCTCCCTCGCAGCTAGCCGCTTCAGTCGGCGAAAGCCGAGGAAAGTCAGCCAAATAGCTACGAAACTCCTCCTCACGGAGACCAGGCTCCTTGGTAAACCGGTTCTCGAAATGGCGCCGAAACGCTCCGCACATGTCGTCAGTGGCCCGAAGAGTACGCCCCTCCGGGGATTTGACTTCACGAATGTAACGATCGCCACCTCGACGGACCTCTTCCCTGCGCAGATCTGCGCCAAAGTTCCTAACAGATAACTGAAATTTTTTATAAGATCAGCGTTCCGTTTTAGTATGATCACGTCGTCGTCACGTGGGCGATGTTGTGAAAACGTATTGTTTGTTTTTTCCGTATATTTTTCTTCATACTGTCGGATCTATATCCATATATTTGCTTATATATATATATATATATATATATATATATATATATATATATATATATATATATATATATATATATACTAGTAATCTTATAAATATAAGCAGCTATACTCGTCCGGCAAAACCTTAGGTGTTTTAGCTTGTGAATGAACAAACTAATACCCAAGGGGGGAAAAAAGGGTAAAAAAAGAAAGAACTAAGAACATGTACTTCCGGCGAAAATAATCGTCTAGAATGCAAGTTCAGAGTCCTAAGAATAAAACCTCCGGCACTAGTAAAGTAAAAATAACTAAGCAAAGTGCTCGATACGCTAAGTAAAGCAAAATAAGTAAACAAAGAGCCAGATAAACCAACCTAGGTTTCAACTACACGGACGATCCGCGTAGGTGAAACCTAGGTAGGTTTGTCTGGCTCTAGGTTTATATATATATATATATATATATATATATATATATATTAAATTGCTC